AAGTTTGAAAATTAGGGGAAACTGGAACCGGGAAATCTTGCCAATATTTTTATCTGACAATGCTTATTTCTTTATTCATAAATAGAAACCCTTCACACTGCTACCTGTTCAAAAAGTAAAAAAATGTTTTTTATGTCTTCCAATGTAGATCATTATGCCTCAAAGCATTTTCCTGTCCTGGCTTTCTTAATATCTTTAAGAAACATAATTACAAAGATATTTTTATGAAGAACAAAATCAATAGTTAACTATTTAAGAGTTTAAAATTTAGTTTTAAATTAACTGACTGTTAATATTTACAAAGATTTGGTAAAACTTTTTGTGTAAATTTAAATTTTTTACATCTCTACTTTTCAGAATTTAAGATATTGACTTTTTCATGAAAATAAATTTAAATAATCATTACACATTAAGTATTGCAAAATGAAAAATAACTTAACTTGATTATCCTAAATAGTAAAATATTCAGGAAGTCATTATCGTCAATATTTGACATAGATGAAGTTACGTGAGTAAAATTTTTCTACATCTTCATCTCCATTTCTCGTAAAGAGACTTTATTATAGTTTCATTTTGATTCAATTTAAATCTCCAACTAAACTTTTATCTCTGATTTTATGTAAAGAGATGTTTCTCTTATCATACATTTACAATAATTGCTTTCAAATATTCTTTTAATACATCAAACATGTGCATTAATGTGTAAAACGATTCAAAGAGTATACTGAAAAATTAATTAATGGTTGGTTACGTAAATGTTACTTTTTGACCGTAACGAGAGTAATTTACTTTTCAGTAATGAAGTTTATTTCCATATCAACATTCACTTATGTAAATTATGATCCTCGCTTTTATTTGTTCATCCTTGTCTTTTTATGTCACATTTTGTGTTTGTGATTCGTTATAATGGTAGTCGGCACAGCATTGTTACGCACTAGTCCCTATTGTGAAAAACCACATTGTATTGATATACACGCAAGAGACGTGTTCTCTACAAAAAAAAAATATAGCTTTTTTTTACGAGATTGTTCAATAAGTTTCATCGAACGAGAGAAGCTCTTCATATGTTTTTCTAAAAAAAGGAAACATATTACAGAGCAGGTGTTGCAATATTTTATACATGAACGATTTAAAAATGTGAATTTTTTTTGAAAGAGAAAAAAGTTTAAAGTTCAAAAAAAAATTACTTCATTCATTTATGTATTTATTGTGAAAAGTATTTTTAAAATTTAATCCGTGCTTTCAGAGCTAAAAAAATGTATGACTCTTTAATACTCACAAAATTACAGAATATTGCAATTGATGATTTATTAATATTTTTTAATCTCCCTGCAAAGGCATAGACAACATGAAATAAATTTCTAGTGTTTTTATTTTTAATAGTTCCATATGTGTATCTGTTTTTGTTGCTTTTACGACGAAAAATCAACACGGAATTTGGTTAAAGGGTTTGCGGGTTTTTTAATTTACTGGAATATTTTCTGTGCAATATGTTCAGTGAATTTAAACTCGATATTTTTTTATTAAATTTTTTAGAGATGTTCATGGAATATTTATAATTGGAAAAAAACTCATGTATAAAAGTGGAAAATAAGAGAAAAGTAAACAGATATCACTTGTTATTATTTAATTATCTCAAGCATTAATAAATTTATAAAACTTTTGATTAATTGTTCTTTTTATTCCTGTCAATATTTCTTTCTATTTAATAGCTAGCATTCAATTATTTATCAGCTTTTCAAAGCTCTCATCATATCACTTTTATACATCAATCTTCGTTGCAAACATTATAAAAGCTAGAATTATCTCTTATTTTTTCGTACCATTCCCTTTATTTTACTTATCCTCTTTCCTCTATTCTAATTTTTCTCTTCTGCTTTCAAACTGCACCGGGTACATGAACGATAAAGAGTGTCTGACCGCGTGGTACACTAATGATTTATGTACGGAACTTGATGCTTTGCAAAGCGCCAACTTTTTGCCACGTCCGTTCGACGTGACATGACTTGGACGTAATACTTTACAAACCACATATGCTACCTCGTTTGCTTTTACAATTGCTGGTAGAAAAAATTTCAATTTTATCGAATATTTTTTAACAGAACATTTGATTTTGAAATTCATTTTCTACTGATCATGTAGAATATTTTTTTTTTTTACAAAAGGATTATTCAATTATCACTTGAATGAAATTTTTTAAAGGTATAAAAAAGAGGCTCAAAGTTGGGTCAATTAATTGCTACGAAGATCGTAATTAAAAAAAGAATAAAATATAGTGGAATGCGAAAGAGTAGTCGAGAGTGTTACAACATGATGATCACCAGTTGGTGAAGTACTAAACACGATTTTCATTGTTGACCAATCTATTGTTGAAACGAACTACTAGTGTAGTAGTACATGATTATGAGTTTTTTTGTTAATTCTTTCACTTGATGATAATCGTTGTTTATTAATTTAAAAAAAATTAAATTAATAAAGAAATTTAGTATTTAACCGAGTCTTATTAATTAAATGATTTTTTAATTTGTTAGATTATACATAATGCAATTATCAGCTTCATCATTCCTTTTCCCGTTTTTCCATATTTTCATTAAACACTAAAAAAAATTATCAACTTACTGTGTAAAAATGAAGTAATATACAATAAAACAATTAAATAAAAAAATTTATTATTAAAATATTATTGCTTAATATAAGCAAATTATTAGAATATAAATGAAAAGAATATTTTTTCTGAAAATCATTGGATGACAATCTTGCATAAAAAATTGTTAATTAGTCTCGTAATTAATCAAAAAAAATTACATGCCACTCTATAGCCAAGGGAAAATAACCCTTCGTAATAACCCTTTCTCTGCCATTTATCTTCCCAATCATCTCCGGATGTCCGGCTATAAATTCTTCAATCTGAAGTATTCAACTTTTCATAAATGAAAAAATTCAATGCATGTGAAATGATATTTATCCAAAATGGAAGTATAAATAATTAAACGTTGACTTAACATATATTAAAAAAAATTTCCAATTTTTCACAATCATATCACTAGCGATCTGTACACACATCCATCATAACAAGCAACCCGAAAATGGAATAGTTAAATCTCTGGCCATAAATTCAATTTAATTCTCGTGTTGAATGTACTAAGCTCGTTCGTCAAACCAAAGCAGGTATATAATATTCCCGATAATGACGGCAAAATCCATAGAGACTGACCCAATTTACATAGTTATTCCATCAAATTGTGCAGAAATTAATTTCTGGTACCTTCAGCCATTTTACCATTATTTTAAATGGCTTCATGTACCAGTGCTATTTTATAAATAATTCAGTTGTTGCATGTAATTATGAAATTGAATTGTTATTTAATACCTTTATTAAATGATAGTGTTGATGGCTCTAATTAGATGTCCAACGGAGAGACATTAATAAATTTTCGATTTGTAAAATAGTAAATGAACGATATGAAAGACAAGTGGGTTGATGTGTATAACATGAATATAACTACCGAGGCGTACAGAATAATCACGAATTCGTAAACTACGAAGATAAATTTCATATCGAATTGCACTCGTGTCAGCAAATTCAGAGAGGCTGCCGGGGAAATTCGATATACTTGTTTACTCGCTAGATCGACGAAATTTCATTGCGGTAGATATGGAAGACGAACAGAGCAAGGAGAGGTAGAGGAGGGGATGAGTTGAACGATAAAAATTTTGTGAGTTACTCAACCGGAACGTCGATTCGAGAAGTTTAGCAAGGAAATTTTGCGGAAATACGAAAGAGTAGATGGGTTCTTTTCTTCATTCTCCTTTAGGTAGAGTCTTCAATCCTCAGTCCTCTTAACGTTGTTTGCTTTTGCCTACATGAGTTATATTCATTGAATAACATTAACAAGAAATCAGTGTCGAGAGCCAAGATAAATTTCTTTACTCCAGCGTTGACATTGAAAAAATTTCACACCGATTCGTACACGTCTTCTTTTCTTTTCACCCTTAAGTATACAACTTTCTCTGCAATCGTCTACGAGTGAGTTGTTTTAAATTTCTGTCTCGCTTTAAAGATCAAAAGAGTGTATCGATTTTTGTAAAGTATACTTCAAGTTTCGTCTATTAAATGAAAATTTTCTCATTGATTGGTATGACTTTTAAATTATGCATTCTTTATTCAGTTTTTTTACTACTTGCTTTGAATACTTTTTGATAAAAATCAAGAGTTTATGAATAAAATATTAAATTACAATCATTTTTAACACTTATTTACAATAGAGTTGATTGATTGTTTCAATTATTAGCACTTTCGTTTTAATATTTAGCATCAATTATTAATAGAGCCATCAATTAACTTTAATTATGTGCATTTAAATTAATTCAATTATTTTCAAATAACTTTAACTTTTATGAGAATCACAACTAATTAAAACAGCAAAATATTAACTTCTAATTAAAAAATCAATGGAAATTATTTAAATTTTAATAGAAAAAAATTAGTCAATCAATTAGTTAGTTTGAATAACACAATCAAAAATAATCCTATTCAATCTCAATTATCATTTAAATTAGACCTAAAATAAATATTCTCAATTCTCCTGAATAAAAGTTGAAAATATTTTTTACCACCTTGCCCATGTTTCGACCTCTTCACGTAATTTTCAACGAATGACTTGTTGTAAATCAAAAGTCAAGACTAGGTTATCGAACGAAGTGTTATATACTTTAACATGACACTCACGAAGCAGTAAAGAGAAGTAGAAAATAATAAAAAAAACAGTGAGATAAAAAATGTTTTAACCTATGTGTAACTCATCTCAAGGGAATCACAAGAATTTTAATATTTCCATCATTGCAGCCACGACACCCTCGAGTATATGAGGGTTGAAAAAAAGCTCTAGAAGTGTACCTTTTATCTCTGACATACTTTTTACATCATCATTGTTTTTTTTTTAATTTTATGAAAATTTGAGCTTTATCATAAAAAACATTTCTTTTACCTTCTGTTGCAGGTTCTTTTATTTCCGGAAGAAGGATGGGCAAGGAGTGCGAGTAGTTCATACTGGACACTGACACCTTTCTGGTGGAGTCGTAGTCGTTGCAAAGTGGTGGAGGTGGCTGGAACAAGAAAGTAAGTTGATAATTAATTCAATGGTTGAATAAGATATTTTTAAAATAAATTACTTTGGCAACACTCTCATTCGTGTGATAGAATAATTTGTACGTAAAAGGCTGAAATTGTTGTTGCGTGAAAGCTTAACAATACTAGTTTTCGTTAGCGTGAAATTGTTACGAACTTTTCGACTGTAACGTCATACTTCCACGGGAATGATTTGGATCGTGAAACTAATGGGATAGCTGGTTTCACATATTATACATATATCTATATATAAGTAGATTGGTGGTAGTGAGGTAGATGTATGGAATCCAGTGAGAGGAAACATTGTAACGTTGTGTTGAACTGTTTAGGGAATACCTAAAGCAAATGCTGTTTTGTCTGACAATACTCCGACCCTTTTCACTTTTCAAGTGAAGCCACATTTCAGATACGTTCATTCGAATAAATAAAATTGTCTGTCTATTTAGAATTCATTTGCAATTCTAAGATTTTTAAATAACACTTCATTAGATATTCTGACATTTAATACCACTTTTGTGGCCTCTTTGTTTTCGTGTATCAATAAATTACAATATTCATTATGTTGAGATTCTTCTAACAAATAGATCGAAAATTTTTTTTTTTTCAATTATGCTAAATCTGTTTAGAGGAATTGATTATACAGACTACAATTTTTGCTTAATCATTGAAATAATTATATCAAGTTTTTCGAGTTCATTATTAGTGAAATCATTTTTTCGTGTGTTGATAAAAAATTTCATGATATTGTGGACTTTGTTTTAATTTTTTGATTGAAATATTTTTTTAAATAATTAATATTTATTTATGTGTCAATAAAAACATTTTTAATTGATGATACAACAAACCTTTATTAACAATAGTCAATTCAGAAAATTTTGTCATGTGAAAATTTCACTACATCATATTGTTTTGGCTGGCTAACACAAAACATGAGCAAATAGTTTTACTATATTTATTGAAATTTTTATTGTTCATAACTATCTATTATGTGTCAGTGGACGACTTTTGAATAAACTATAAAAAAATTTAATTTTTTTTATATGATCTAAAAATATATTATAGAAAATAGTAAAGTAACTAGAATAATTAAATAAGTAGCTTTTTGTAGCAAATGACTCATCTGAATACAAAAGAAAACTAAATAATGAGTGAATCATAAGATGGATTTATTTGTGGGAAGGTTCAGCATGAAAGTATGAATACAGTATACGTATAATAAAGTTGAAAACAAGGAGGATTAAAATGTTAAAAGAAAATTTAGTATAATACTGTGCAAAGCCTGGGGATATTTTAAAAGTTTCTTTGGAAAACACGTAAACGATTTAGCGAATAGGAAAGCAAAAAGAAAATTGGGGAAAAAGAAGAAAGAAGTCAACGTGATAGGAATATCGGAAAAACTTGAAAAGTTGGTTTGGTTTCTATCCTCGCTGGGATTCTCACATAACTATCAAAGAGAAGAGAGCACGATTAATCCACTGAGGCCAGGAAGAAACAGGTTAATTTCCGTTTCCATTTGCAGGATAGCAGCAATTTAGATTAGACTTACAATTGGGAATTGTGGTAGTATGCTGTCCATGAAAATGAGAGAAAATCTTCACTTCTCATATGGCATGATGTTTCGCTAGGGTATTAAGCTAGAAGCCTGACCCTTAATCGCATAGATTGATGCAGGCTGCATGCGGTTTGATGAACCTGATATTCAAGCTGCTATGTGTTCCATGCATAATGCTGTCGAATCCAATCACCAATTTGCCTCGTCTTCCTCCACTTTAGGATTATACCATTTCTGTTTTTAAATCTCCTCATTTCAATGATGAAAGACATTTTTTTTAATCAATGTTTCAATCACTACCAAAAACATTGGTGAAATTAAAAATAAATTTGTTAACAGTAGTGCATACTTCCTCTAATAAAGAAATCAAAATCATTAAAAGTCACTGGGAAAGAATTAATATTCACAAATTCATTTTTAGAAAGTTAATTCACATTTTATCAAACACTTCCATTTCTTCTATTCTCTTCATTCATTGTCAGCTCAGTCTTGAGATTTAGATTTTCTAAAAATAAATAAATGACTTCATTATTTGCACACGAAAAAAAGGATTGAGTAAAAAATACTCTGCAAATCAGAGGACCTGGGTTAACCTGAATTGAAGGGTAATTTTTACTCAATCTTCTCCTCTGTGCAGTTATAAGTATATCTCTGGTTCACATATTGATAGTTTTATAACTACAAATTAATGACCATCTCATTGATTGATCAAACTCCAATTAAAATAATTTTTTTTCCAATAAACTGATTAGTTTAAAAGATTATACCAATCTTAACTAATTCATTTTCTTTTCTAAAGATTATTATATGTTTCGTATTAATAAATCATAATGTTAGAATAAATTATTCTAAAAAACCTACATCATTCCAATTCAACAGAAACGGGTACTTCAGTTGATTAAAACTTTGATAATATTGATTACATTGAGTTGTTCTTAAACATTGTCTTGTTTGTTTGTGCTTGCCATTATACAATGAATCACTTATTTGAACTCAGCACTCAAAGTTTTAACAATTCACCCTCGAATATATACCCTTTATCAATGGTTATTGCTTTTTCTTCCACTTTTATTGTATTCCTTCAAGAACTTGTATAACTTGAACAATTATTTTATCATGTAATATTCTACGAGATAACAATGAAAAAATATAGCTATAAATATAGCTAGATAAAGTATAATTCATTAGAAATAATGAAATGGCTGGAAAATTAAATAATAATTATAGAAACCATAAAAGGTTGTAAACATCAAGACGTTAAACGTTAAATGTTCGCTACTCATTATACCATGTAATAACAGTTCTGATTCTAACATCATAATGAAGTCCATAATTACAAATGTTCATGTTAACGTGCTTTAGAATATTGCAAGAGCTTCAATTTGTTCTACCATGTATAGCTCTTATCCAAAATCTTTGATATTTGAAATTGAGATGTAAAACTAATTTGGTCGTCATGAATAATATAGAGAGTAAAATACAGCTATAACAGTACAAATCAAGTTTAAAAACATTTTAGAGTTTATAAAGAACGACTTCAAGTACCTATGGCTTGTTTATGACGTTTTATCCTCAATGTACTTTGTGTTTTAGCTTAGCATATTTTAAAGAAACTCAAACATGTAGTGTGGAAGAAAAGTTTACGTAATTTTTTTCATGCAATAAAATCAAGAGAATTGGCAAGATTACTTTTTTTGCAAGAATTTATGATTTTAATAAGTTGGTTCTATTGAGACATATATTAAACTTATTCAACTCTCAATTTATTCCCCTATTGAATACACAATTTCTACTTATAATATTTATTGTAAAAAATAAATTAAAGTTTCGAGAAATGACAAAAAAAACACTCATAACAAGCAATTGCTCGTGACAAAAAATAAAACAAGCAAGCAAAGTTTACATCGTAGTCATATAATGTAAATTGCAAAGCACGATTGTGGAGGATAATTGCCGATTCCGGACGTGGATGGTGCCATCCTGCGTATACACCCAAGGTATATTTACGAGGCCATGTCCCTAGATGATAATAACAAAGTCCAAGTTCACTCAGAGTATTCAATTCTCGGCACGCGATACCGATTCCAAAGTAGTAACGTCAGTCGTTACATGCATCCCATACTCGGGCCAGTGGTTCCTTATCAGTGCGCCCTCGTACATGTAAACCCACCCTCTATCTATACCAATTGTGAGTAAGCTTCATACTACTCCCGGCCATTTTAACTGTGCCAAATATCTCCAAGCTATCTACAGAGTTGCATCGCGTTATATTCTAGGAACAAATAATACCCTCGGCATTTGGCCTCCCCTCTTTTGCCCTCTCTTATGGACCTCCTAGATGACTTCTACCACTTTGTGTAACTGGAACTCATCTAACTTAGTGGGAAAGCAAGGATGCCTCTTGCTACTTCTCCGTCTCCTGCATCCTCGTCGCTGTTTCTCAAGCTTGAGGCTCTGCCGGGGGTGATAAGGACTCGCAATTTACTGCCACTCGAACCCTTCGTTACATTTTCTCTTCTATTTTTCTCATTGTATTTTCTTCTTTTCCACTCTTTTATTTTTCTCCTTCTTTACGTTCTTTCACTCCGCTGACATTTGTACAAACTGACTGACCATTCTTAAGCTTGTTTTACTGGCAATCTTCTACGTGACTCGCTTTTTATATTTGAAAAAATTCAACCCCCCGAAAAAATTGTAACGACAATGCAATAAAGAGTCAGATCAGCGAAGGGGAAAAAAATTTAACAATTTTTCTTAGATAAAGCAGTAATAAAAATAAAAGATAAAATAATAAAACAGCTGCTATTTACCAAACCTATTCATTGAGCTTAGTTTTGTGTTCAGCCTTTATCCTCTTTGTCTCTATTTTAGTGTGAGAGTTTAAATAGCAATGTTACTCCCAACTCCCATGAGAGTATTCTCCTCTATTCTCCAGTGACGTGAGGTCATAGAAGAGGTAATGCAGTTAAGGATCTTCCAATGATAGTTCTAGATTGCCTGGATTCTGGCTCGATTAACGATCGTAAACATCTTGAGATTTTAGTGATAATAAACGTTGAAATTACTTCTTGATCTTTTAATATCTATTAAATTATTTTTTATAGAAAATGCTAATAAAAATTGCACTCTTGTTTGCTTGACACGTTTATAAACCTATTAATTAACGAAGATAATTGAATTTGTTATTAGAACGTCAGATAAAAATTCGAAATGACAGATATTTTTTTAATATGTACAGCATTTACTTGTGTGTGAGTATTTAATGAACAAATTAAAAAAAAAAAAAAACTACAATTTTAATAAACTACCTCTTTTATTGAAATTCAAGCGTTAATATAACTGGCCAAAATTGAAAAGAAAAATATTCAAAGAATATTTAAAAAAAATTTTTTTTCATTGCCACATAGAGATTATTTCAACATATAATTTAGATTCAGACAGTCATTAATAAAAATACATTTAATTCCAGATATCTGTTTAAATAAAGTTATTAAGATGATTTAAAAGTATTACTTAAAAAATAGAAAATGATCAATGCAATAAACTACGTTATTTTTAAACAAACAAAAATTTTTCTTCTTGTTGAAATCAAATTGTTAAGAAATTTTACACTAAATTTTAAGCTCTAATTATTTGGCAAAATGTTTCATTCATCTGATCTTTTCACAGATATTTAAATAACCAGCTTTTTGAAAATAGAATGAAGGATAGCATGATATAATTAGAGATGTAAGTGATTTTGTGCAATCAAATCGGGTCGTTAAACATTCAGAGAGTTCGTTAGGTATGAACATTTAATGAGATTTCTCACTTCATAAAGTTTATACGGTACAGATATACATATTGAGTAATGTATAAAAGCGCCATTTTCAGTATCTAGTCTTATTTGGTTTGCTCAAATATGCGGTAAGAGATGACACTTGCATGCAGATAGAACAGTATAAAACACCTTTGCTGACGTAGGTATGAAGCAAGAAGTACTCTACCAACAAGTTATACAGGGAAAAGATTAATTTTACAAGGCGTAAGGCGGAACGACGACGGTACTACTGCACGTTGGCTTAAAATTTTAATGAAAGGAAGTCTCGTGAAAGCGTATGCAGGGGCTAAGCCCATTACTCGGACCATTCTGTACCACCGGCGCCACTTTCGTTCGTGCTTCAGATTAAGTACTCGTGAAAAAATGAAAGCAGTTCTACGATTCGTTATTCTACAAGGGATTTATGTCACTTTATGGTATTTAAATCCTTTAATTCTCACTATTTTTACACTCAATGAAATAAAATGAATATTATGTTCATTTAACAGAGAAAAACTTCCAACAAATCCAAGCAAAAATCAGATAACATTTCGTCAACCAATTACCTGGTATTTCTTTGATCAATAATGTAGTATGGGGAACGTGATTGGATTAAGTTTTCTTAAATTGAGTTATAAAAGAAGAAAAGTAGTAGACAATAAGTTATAAAAATAGGAAATTCGATCGTAAATGATTGAGAGTGGATGATAAACTAATGGAAAGAAGGAAGACTTGTCAAACAGAGGGATAATTTTAGTTTTTTAGTTCATTTTTGAGACAGTCATTTGTATGGTGAACAGCATAGTCAACACATCTATTCATCTGTTTTTTATAATCCTATTAACTTTTTATTATCATTTCGTTGCAGATTTATAAATCACTTTTTCATCTTTTTTTAAATAATTTTTATGCCTCGTCACTTCTTGCACTTTTTCCATTACTCAGCTAATGGAAAAAGGGCAGAATACCATAAGCTGTCTTATAGCATATGTTATTAAAAACCAACATGTTCTGAATAGTAATGGAAAGAATACATCTTTCACAATATTAGTCCATTAGTATTATCTTTTTTCCCTATAAAAATATATATTCCTGTAGAGTAAGTTAGATGATATCATTTTCGAAAACACAATGAATATTGTAAAATATATCTATGATATGTAAGGCCTCTGGTTTAACGTCATTAAACTTACAAATTGAATACAACAGGTTTTATCGTATGATTAACAAGTAATTTAATGGGTCAAGTAACTTTATAGTTCAAACTATTACCCACTTTGTATCAACAGATACTTATACGGCATTAGAAACTTCAAGTTTCATCTTGGTTAAGTCTTCATAAGCTACGTCAAGAACGTCTTGAATTATTATTATTATTATTATTATTATTATCATTCAAAGTAGTTTAAATTATATATGTAAAGTTACTTGGCTAGAGAAAAATTTTATGCCTGAGTATCTTATTCATGTGATATGCTTTTTTTTACTTTATACTTTTCTGAATATTTTAGAATCTGATGAAATTTTATTCAAATAAATAATCATTAATCAATGAAGGTACATTCGTATAATTAAAGCTCGAATCTATTCATCGAGAGTATTATTAATTTATGAATGTACATTAAATTTCAAGAGATGGGATGGGATAGAGGAAGAAAGTTTGATACGATGAGTGTAAGTATAAGAAGCAAGAAAATATATTTATGAGTATGGAATAGCTCAAGTGGTAAAGCACCAAATATGTAATATAGGTAAATACACAGAAATCTACATAAATATAAATAAATTTATTTTTTAAAAAAATTTCCAGCATATAGCTGGTATAATGGTATGTATATACCAACATATGTCGATCAATATACAATAATTTTTTATCAATCTAAAGCAATCTAAAGTTTTATAAAAAAAATTATTTTTCTAAACTATCTTCATTTATTAAAAGTCCATTAAGTTAATAAGATAAGCAGGATGCTCTCTGGATCTAAGACTCGTCAGGACGACATCGATGTAATATTCTCAAAGTTTATCACTTCTTTTTTTGTCTTTTCTCATCACTGTTGAACCGCACTAAAATTTGAAACGAGTGTCGAGACATCCGCTGCACTTCAATAGAGAACGATTAAACTTTTAATGATCGCCGTCGGGTTGGAATTCTAACGGGGATGTTATGTTCTTACACTCCCCCTCTCGCTTTCTCTTGAGAGTCTCAAGTATTCTCTGAAGGATTATATCTACCAACGCTATCACAAGCATCGTTTTTCTAGCATATGTCTTTAGATTTTTTTATTTTCTCATTTTTCAATTTTCTTTTTATCTTTTTCTCATTTCAGTTACATTTAAGTTCGATTGCCCAAATAATAATTCCCTCTGAAACATCTTGAAAATTGAAGAAAAAAATTTTTATGAATTAAAGTTGACAAAAAATTAATTGAATACAAATAAATTGGAAAGTAATTTTTTTTTTCATTCAGTCAATTTCTTTCCCATCAAAATGTAAAATGGTTGTTAAATTTTTTTTCTTCTCCCTATTGATAGGCTGTTCCTCTAAATTGCTCTCTTCATTGTGAAAAGTGATTGATGGTCTTTCGCTATGTGCAAAATATTATTCAAGAGGGCGTGGAATATGTAGAGAAAACTGAGGAAAATCGAGACAAATTTTTTTTGATAAGATATTTTAATTTAATATTCAATGTACCTCGTAGAGGTCATGAAAAATTTCAGGTGGATGAAGTACCTGTGAAGCTTCTATGAAGTATTTTATTCTTTTGTGATGCGAGACATGTTTTTTAATCCATCAGGTGTTAAAATACAACGTGATGTCTGGCAGCCGTCAAATTGCATGGACGTGGTAGACTACTATTGTTAAATTGTAACAACTTGCACGCTTGCACCAGACGCATATAAACGTAATCAAATTAATAGTGGAATAATTTTTTTTTACTTTCTAAAAATGAATTAGTGAAAATCACTCCAACAACAATATTAAATGATATTTGAATATGGTAGAAACCTTCATCTTCTTTGTTACTTTAAAATTCCAATTAAATAATAATAATTATAATAATAATAAAAAGTGTGGTTACTAAACAATCTTCAGACATAATAAAATACAATGGCATTTTTATTCGAAAAAAATAATTAATACGCTACACTTCGGTGGACAATATTTAGCAGTAAATAACACCAATAAATATTCAACGTCCATTAAATGGTAATTAATATTAATTATCCGGAAATGATAATAATGGTATTGGAAAAGACAGCAATAATATTAATGATAAAAATAATGTAAAAAATTCAATGTGTATGAGGGTGGAAGAAATTCATGACATTACATAGAGCATGAGAAAGGCTGGAACAATAATAGCTCGTAAATAACGTGCGCGTGTTTTCCTGTAAAAACATGGTTTTTCCAAATTACCTTCCATATTACGCTTTTACAATTTAATACTGGTATTCTCATTAATTTTTCTGCTCCAATTATTTTAAAAATTTATAATCATGTTGTTTCTTTAGTATGAGGTACATAATAATTAGACTCTAGTGTTTCAATTGAAAGCAGAAGCCAAAGTTTCCTGTTGTCATTCCCATGGTGGAGGTATATCGCCTAGCGGTTTTGTATGATAGTGAAGGTGATGTTTGCGGTGAATACTTGCGAGGCTCAGTACAAGGATATTCTCAACACAAATTCATCTCCCTAAACATTCTGCGTTCAAGTACATATTCATCTGTCTGGCAAAGTATCTGGATACGACATCTTGAAGCTAATGAAATATCCACAATTATCCATATCTCCATCTCATGATTCATGTGCAATTTGTCTTGAATATTGATATGTAGACATATCCTCTGGTATTACGTAGAAGGAAAGGTTTGAACTTGACAGCCGTTCTAACATCAGAACGTTTGAATTTGCTGTTAATAGAAGTTTATTCGTACCCATGTCTTCGGTTTCTCCAAATACTCTGATGTTTAGTAAACAGCTTCTGTATGCCGCCAAAGTGTACTGATCTAATCGGGCATTTGTGATTACTGGAATAATGTTTAGTGCGTATTTACCAAGACGTTATGCATGATGGGAAATTGCCTGGTCATAGGAAATTTGTACATATTAAGAGCATCTGTCATTATTAGTGACAGTAATCGATTTGAATTTCGAGGTTACAATGACCAATGCTTATGCTCTCAATGGATCATTTTGTTGATTCCAGATACACTACACAAGCAAAGATGGTGGATACGGGAACTGGAACACTCTATATCATTGGATCATTCAAACGTCAGACTGTCGATGCGGACTTTAAGGTGATGCATGTGTTTGACATAGATTCAACTAGTCGATAAGTTTCTGCATGATAATCATTGTTTGCTTCGTCACTTTCAATTATTAAGTGCTACTAGAGTTATGATCGACCTTACATCACCGCTTCATTTGATCTATTGCTATTCTCTAACACACATTACATTTCTACAAATGAAGAAAAATTAATTGCTAGAAAATAAATGAACACAACGATGTGACAAGCTTTTGTCATTATGATAATACCTTTTGTATGCTTATTTATTTGGAATTTGTATTTGTTAAATAAATGTTTTGAATAAAATTAATTATAAATAATTAAACTGTTTTTTTTATTTAAATTAATAGTAAACAGTCAATTGTTTGGATTAAAGCCTTCGGGCAGAGGTCAATTACATGCTTCGGCTTGTAATAAAATACATTGGAACAAAATCTAACGAATAATTCATGTATCTCATTTGCTAATTAATTAACTGTATTTTAATGATATTTTTATTTTTTTCATTAGCTTAGCTATATTAATTAATTAATAACTATTTAATTTAATTTTTATTTCAATTTTTTATTGTACAAAAATTCATTAAAATCATCACTGAAAATTAGTTATCATCTAGAGTTAGAAAATAAATGAATTAAAAAATTCTATTGGTCACTCTAAAGTAGATTATAAAGTAATATGCTCTGATAAATCTAGAACTGATACTCCAAAAGAATAGCAGAATTATATTCTTTAAGCTATTATGTGATTTAAGCTTTTATGATAAAAAGAAATAGCCAAGATGCATAAAAATATTTAAAATAAAATTTAGAGAAAACTAAGACTTAGTAAAAAATGAAAAAAGAAGATGAAATGTATGACTTATTCTAACTTAGTGTATTATACGGGTACGCCATGGGAATCGTCCAGCAGTCTTGCAAGCTCAAGCTCTTATCAGACAGCTACAGTCGCATGGGATTATCTTTGTATTTGCCACAGACACTACGACTTTGTCAATAATGTTTTCAGCATAAGGATAAAATCCTTCATTAAGTTTTGAGACACTTGGGACTTTTATAATGAAACTTTTTAATGGACATTTAATTAAGCCTTTAAATTTCACCACCAACCACTGATTGTCCTCAGCAATCTTATCAATATTTGTTAATACTCGTTAATTTTCAGTAACAATACAATGTCAAAACAATACATATACATATGTATATATAACTGTCAAAAGTAAATAATGTCAACGGACTTATCTACTATATTTTAAGGATTTTACGAGAGTTATAAAACACAAAGAATGGTATATTCGTCCTGCACTATCTCTTCTGTTGATATTTCTACGTCACGTCGCGAACTATTATTATCCTTTTACGGATTCTAGACATAAAAGATAGATATACGACGTTTAATATGGCCCTTTCTTCTACATGATTTTCAGTAGAATATTATTTCAGTACAAGACAGCACAAATAGACGAACATAATTCATGGAATAGCGTTTGGAATGAAATTTATGAGATAATATTACATGTTTCAGTGATCATAGAATGATCAAATTTGAAAAAAAAAAAATTATTTATATTTTTCATTTATTACATCTTCTAGAAGTGGGTTATGATCGATGTTAAAATGAATCTTGTAATGTAGATCAAGATTCAGTTCAATAGGATACTATTCCCTATGTAGGAATGTCTAAATTTGTATGCGTGGTTGATGGTAAACCTATGCATGACATACAGAATAATTATTGATTATGGATGAACTTGGAAAGCCCAGCAATGTCAAAATTGTAATAGTTATTCCTATATCATTTGCACTCTTGTCATGTGATAAATATGTATGTGAACATATTTATTTCTTCTCTTTAAATTATTTATAACTGTTAAATGTCAATAAAAATTTGCCTGCTTATATTCCATCACCCATGGATTATCTTATCCAGTATCAAGTTCTTGACATCTAATTTAATATTATTTTTGATCTACAGTTATATATTATATTGGTTGTAGCATGAAGTATTGACAACGCATGAATAAAAAATTAAGCTTTAATTCTTGGATGAATTTCGATATGTATATGTTTGTTCAATTGAATACTATTGAAAACTTTATGCAGAGGATTTCAATAAAATCTAAAATTCTCAAATAAAATCCGATGTCGAATTGAGGTGGAGCATAAAAATAAAATTTTCCAGTTAATAGAATTTTAATAATAAAAAGAATTTAATGGAAAAAACTCATTCAAAGATATTTTGGTAGCAGCAGAAAAATTTTGTGAAACCAATTATCTCCAAGGTATCAAAAGTTCTTATTAAAAATTAAAAACCATTTTTATTCAACTTATTTGTTATTATTGATCATGATTCTTCAATATTTTGAAAATTTGTTATCACAATTATCAAACTCATTAAATTTTAGATTGAAAATCTCCATGACACACTTTAAAAGCTATTCTACACATTTTTTTTTTCAAAATGTCATGGTCTCACTGAAAATTACAACTTGTAACATAAAAGCCATTAAACGCAATAACATTAAAACCTAATAAAGATTTTAAATGAACAGTCAAACTTAGCATCTTTTATGATAAAGAGAGTTGGCAGCAAGTTTGTTCAAATTCTCTGGCATGATTATCGTTACCTCTGGCGACATTTGATACGACGTTACCTCGTGATGAAAAACTGTTGGAGTTTAGGAAGTCATAGCGAATACTTATAGCATTTTACTTACAATAATTACATTACATTAAATTGTATCATTAGTTTTAATGATTATGTTGCTGAGTTGTGAAGGTTCCAGCTGAGAGTTATTTAAAGAGCCTTTTAATTTTTATGTTCACAGTTGTACCTGACGTCAAATGTTACTTCCAGTGACTTCAACATGGGCTACAGTATGACTGGTACTCTAGAACGTGGATGTAAAAAGACCAACACTTTCCAAATGACTCACTTTGCAGTGATACGACGACGAGACTATGAAAAAGCCTACGAGGATCCAAACCCCACCTAGTGCTCATCTCCACCCACACATTCAGAGTGTGGGGATTACGAACATTATACGTAAGACGAGTGATATCAAAGTTAAGTTTTAAATTAAAATGATAAACATCGAAAGTAGAACTAAATATTCGCAAATATGTGCATCAAGTGTCTTCAAGATTATAACCAAAAACAAAAATGCAAGAAGACAATCCAGCGTTTTATGGAACATTGTTGTACGTCTTCTTATATATTTCAAGTCATCTCGATATGTATTCAAGAGACAACTGAAAGAATTCTAGTCACGTGATCGTTATGTCAGACAAAATCTCTCAAACTTGTCACGTTCATCGTCACACTTTCGTCCTTCGAAGAATTGTCCTCAATTGACGATTCGACTCACTCCATATACTCTATTTGGGCCAGGGGACTGCCGTCCTCATGATCGTTAATCCTAGGGACGATAGAAAGTACTAGAGAAAGGGGAAAAAATGTTATAAGAGTAACAATCGAGATATCCTTCGGTTATCTTGAGTCTTTACTAACCAAGAAATATCATGTTCTTATTGTCTTGTATTTTTTTTTCTTTCTCTAATCTGACCCTTGTGCACAGAGTTGATCCGTCGAATGAAAATTGATAGTCGTGATAAGGGAAACTTGTTCTCATACGTAAGGGAAAGTTGTGACGATCGATTAAATAGAAATGTGTGGGCTCATTCGTTTCCGGATTGAAAAATTGCGAATTTTTTTAGGGGGGGGGATGAAAATTCAAATAAATTGGGGAAATTGGAATAAGTTTTAGCTCGGAATAAATTAACAAATGTAAATAAGGGAGATATTTTTTATTTAAGCTTGTTTGTTTGATTCGTTGTTTTTGTAAATAATAAAAAAAAATTATTTGTGATATAAAATGAAATTTTTGTGTTAAAATATTATTTACATAGAAAACTTGAGAACGAATGAAGAGCAACTCGTGCTATGCAAAGTAATAAAGTTAAAAGAATGATGAAAAAGATAGTATTTTCATAATGATAAAAATAAAGTATAGATAAGATAAAAAGATGAAAAATAATCAAGTAAAAAAGATAAAAGCTTATTCTGGTTTCCTCTATATACATAAATATACATAAATAATAAGCTATTCCAACAGAAAAAACGTCCATTTGTAGTATTTAATTTTTCCTTCAAGATATATAATGATACCAAAGTAGTTAAAATATGACAAAGTTTTTTCTTTATTTATTTATTTATTCTATTTTACTTACTTTATTTCCAATATTTTATTCGTATTTCGTGACTGCTTATTTTATGTGCACGAGCTTGAACAAGAAGTAGCTTGCGTGAGTTCAGTTCTTAAGTTATATCGGATCTAATTAAATAAATACATTTTTTATCAAAGTCACAAGTCATCGGAAAGATATTAAAACTGTCATTTCAATGCATTCATTAACTTTTCGATTATTTTATCTTTTATTTGTTAGCTTTTATATTGAATAGAATTAACTTATTATTGTGTATGACATTGTGTTATCCAAAATTTTGGAATTAATGTTTATATTTTTCTAAAATTTATTGGCATAGATAACGAAATTTTTCAAGAAATTACTATTTAACAAAAAAAAAAAAAAACCAATTCGAAAAGCCCTTTAAAGTAGACATATTTTTTATTGTGTAGCGAATTAATAATACAAGATAATATTTCATAATAGTTGTTTAAAAAATGCTGTTTAACTTCACTATAATATTTAATATTCAAAAAAAAATTGAAGTATGAAGACTTCTTTTTTGTTAGAATGAAAAGAGAGATAAAGAAATTTCAAAATCATTCAATTCTCATCAATATGCTTCTTGACCACTAAAATACCGCAGCAAGACATGACTAGGCCCATGAATGGACCACAACTGCATCATAGCTAGATGATCACCATTTGATGGTTAATGCTAGCCCAATCATGACCTAATCATCGTCCTGTTTTCCAATTCCTGTATGGGTGTAAGAATTTTTCCCTGTATAGTTTACTTCATCATTTCAACTTCATTTTTTTTTTTTTATTTTGTCAAAATGTCATTAATAGCACCTATCTGATCTTTCAATTTAATTAAAATTTATTTATTTTTAACAACGAAATTACTCTAACAAAACTATAAACAGCTTTAGGCTGGTTTCACTACGTTTCATGAGAATCAATCAAAAAACTCACTCAAACAAAAAAAGCCAATTTCGTTGCACCGCGTTATTAAAACTACTCATCTCTAATAATTCGAAATCAAAATGTCACATCAAATTTTTATACACAAATTCGTCGAGTTTGCATTTGATAACAAAATTCACAATAATTGAATAATGAAACTAGGCAAAGCAAGAAAACTTTTAACAGGAAAAATTTGCTTAACATAATTCGAAATTGAGTATAGAAAAATTTTCTAATCATTTTAAAAGCTGGGAAAGGGAGGAATGAAAAACAGAATCTTCGAAGCTGTAGATCCAATTCGTATTATGATAAGCTTAGTTGATTCTTTGCTTCCTCTCTACCTCACTCCCCTAATGTAAAAGCTTCTACTAAAGGGCCAATATATATATCTGATACTTTCCATCGGATATACTGATATTCCAATCTTACTCAAGGCGCATTTAGTTAATCCCAAAACGTATCATACTGAAGTATTAAGAAAAAAATGTGTGGGTTAGCAGAATCATCTTTTTCTTATATCAGCGTCCACATACATAAATGCGTAATGTAAATTAACATTTACAACCCCTTAATTTGTTTTTTTCATCTTAAGCATCAAATAAAAATCCCCTTTTTCAAATGTTTGATATAACTTATCTCAATTCCGATGACTCCACGAAAACTCGATTTGATTGAGAATAAATACTTTTAGTTTAATAATTTGTCATAAATAAGATTAAATAAATGAGATTGGAGTGGGATAATATTGAACGTTAAATAAATTGAATTGAATGATAAGAAAAGAAACATTTGAATTAATTAAAGAATTGAAATAAATAGTTGATTTATTGCCTACAAGTAGTCTTAATTTTTCAATCATCTTAAAACCAAATTTTTTTTCTACAATACACTGCCACACTCGTGTTATCCCACTCTCCTTTTCAATATCATTTTATTCAATGTGTAGATCGAATCAATTTTTTTGTTCGAAATTTTGTGATAATTAATCGCAAGTATCTAGAGCATTACAGGGTTTAAATAGGCAGATTTCAGTTAACATCTTTGTCATTGAACTAACTTAGTAGTAAATAAATCACCATAAAAAAAAGAATATAGATATAAATAAATATTAATTACGATAATATAATACTAATTATAATGTTAATAATAGCGTTAATATTAATACTAAAATAATAAAGTAAAAAAAATACTTCGACTCTTTTCGATATCATTGTCGCAATGTGTTACCCGAATGACGACGTAGTCGAGGCATGTAAGATTAAAATTATTTTTATCGGCCGGGTGATGCATTTTCGTAGATTAATCGGAGTCTTGATAAAATATCTAACAAAATCCTTCGATCCGTCATTAGTCAGATTGAATTCGGAGGATTGCTGATCAATTAGATGATATTAATTAATCGTATAATTAAGTATTGAACTACTGATACGTAAAATGGAAATACCTCGATGTGTAGATGGTAGATTACTAGTTTTATCGCATTGATGCTTTTTTATTTTTTGTTTTTTAAAATCTCGTTCTAGTCGATAGCTTTAAGAGGATATTCGTTGCAGTGTGGGAGAATGAGCTGAAATAGTGAAGGATAATAACGTAGTTAGTTGTTGATTTGAAATTTGTTTACTTGAAATAAAAAAATGTCAATCCGATCGTTGTACTGCAGATCGTGCCCAGAATTAAACGTCCATGAAATTTTATTTCCGGCTCTGGTCATTCTACTGGACGCTGGGGAGCTAACTCTCGTATATACTGCTAACAAATATGTGAGTTACGTAGTATTTTTGCATCAAGCGTCCGATTGAACGAGTTAGTAATTCCCGAGTAGCATTACGATCATGTTACATTATAATTTGTTCGGGTCAGTGTAAAGAGCGAGTGAGAGAATGAGAGAGAGAGAGAGAGAGAGAGAGAGAGAGAGAGAGAGAGACGTTCGATAATCCAGTTTCCCGGGATGGTATTTATCCCATCTGCAAAATTTCCAATCCCGAGGGACGATTCAGATTAAACAGGGCCCAATCGCGAATTAATTAACGATAAGTCTGTAGAATTTTTTGTCATTATTATGTTTGTTGCTCGCTCCCACAATTAGCGCGAGTATATATAGTCATCGTCCCTTAATAATCAAATCACATTAAGGCTAAATTTTCTGTCTGTTTGCTCATGTAAGTTCAGGTCATACAACACACGTCGTGGTGAGATGAAGTAGTTGAACAAACAAGTATTAGCTTTTTCGTCCAAAGCAGTTGTAGTTTAACTTAGACACCTAGAATGTTTTTCGAAATAAGTACGTCCGATATCACGGTCCCTCCTACTACTTAGCAGTAGTCCAGACCCAAAAGATGCACGCTTTATTCGAGACTTGAAATATGGTCACTAATTTTGTAAGCTGCACGCGGGTCTTTTAGTTGTTTTTTTAGGAATTAGACTGGAACAACTTTCTTGTGAATTTTATTCTCTTAATTCAACATATTTTATTAAAATCTCACTGTAAATATTACTTAGATAACATTAATTTTACTTTCTTTAAAATATTGAAAGATTCGTTGACAAAAAAAAAAAGAAAAAAAATTTGAAACAAAGTGTTTTTTACTTTGAAAGATAATATTGATAAAAAATTGTTAAATAATTTGTTTGTTGTTGAGGAGAAAGAAAAATGTTGAAATTGTAAATAATTTTTTAGAGACCATTGGAATTGATCTGTTAAACTGTTGGATGATTTTTCATTAGTTAATTTATTGAATTAATTCTCAAGAAAGTTTGTTCACTCCTTGATCAAGTAGAGTAGTATATTAGAATATTAGAATCGATAAATTGTCTTGATCATTATTCATACTAAAACATCTGTAAAAAAGTCAGAAATCATTCACAAGTTATGATTGCCTTCTTACATCTGTTCTACAGGAATTCGTGAATTTTATTTTTAAAGTACAGAATCAGCAGTCAATCAAAGGTGTAATGATAACTCTGAATATCTGAAAGGTTAAGACAAATGTGGGATGCGATAGTCGTGATTGATTTCATGAAAAAAAAATGTTTTCAAAAATAAAATTTGATAATGGTAATGCATAAAATAATTGATAGTAAAAATCAGGCTTATTGTTAATTGAATATTGATTTATAAAATAAAGAAATAAATAAACGACTAACGCCTCCATTCGATTATTTATAGATAAAATAGTAATTAAAGTAGAATGAACTGAACTTATAATTATCACTAACATTATAATTATAATGGTCTTAAAATACGAATAATGAAATTCGTATTCAAAGCTATGGCTGTGATTTCAATTGATTAACAAAAGATTACAACAATTGCAAAATACAAAAAGTATAATTGATAGATATATTAATAAATAAATAATGCATTGTATCGTATTTGACGATTATATGTATATGTAGGTTTACGATGTATATTCGTGACAAAGTGACAAATATTTTGAAAACGAAAATCCTAATGATGATTAAATGATTTTCTTTATTTTTCCATTAAGAAAATATTATTGTTTATTTGCTGGTTGTTATTTTATTAAAATATGTTATTACTATAAAAATATTTTGGCAATTATTTTTTTGTATAAAATGAAATAAAATATGTTACATTTTTCTACTATTTATTTTCTATGTAAATAATATATTATATATGAATTGTAATCAATAAGTAAATCTTTATAATCTCTGTAAGAAAATCAAAGGGTAATTTCAATGATTGTATTCTCTGGAAAATCAAAGTTGTAAATATAAGTGTATTATGAGATTTTGCTTGGAGTAATAAAAATAAAGATTCGAAATAACAATGAGAAATGTAGAGAGAGCTTTATTCAAGCTCTAGCAGCCCATAATATTTTCGAAAGAATAATTCATCGTAAGACAGAGAATTCATAATTTTCAAAATTATTTATAAATAAATTAATTATAACAAAAAACTATCTGAACAATCCTCAATTTTTATTCCTTTAAATTGAAAGAAAATAAAATTGTTGCTAAATTTTTTGAAGAATAACACCGATTAGTACTTACGATGAAATATTTCTAGTATAAATCTGCATAAAAGTAACACCATAATATTACATGTAGATACAACACATAAGTTGAATCCTCAGCAAGATGAAGAATGAAAAGACGAAAGTAATAGAAGTCAATTTCGTCAGGCATTTAGAAAAGATATGCGTGTATCAATAGAATAAAGAAAATCGACTGAGAAATCTGCAAGATGACAAGAAAATTGTACGTTCATGTATGTATAGAATAAGATTTTAAAAATATTATATAGAAGAGAAGATATAAAAGTATTGGAGTTAAATTATATCATCTTGCATAAAAAAACGAAGCTTCAATGTATTTTCACTACAGTCCTGTCTCAAGTCAATTCATTTTGTATTTATCCTTAATCGATGTATCAATTGTCATAATTTATGCCAAATAAATGTTACCTTTACGCAACATTCAACTTTTTTTGAAAATAATCTCTGACTGACGTACTTTTGATTATGATCATTAATACGAATTACGAAATAAAAAAATTATCATTACTTATTTATAAGTAATTCATTCTTTATTCATTTAAAAAGAATAATTATAAAATATACTAAATTTTATTAAGATATTTCACGACATTTTAAGACATCATAGAGTAGGTTGAAAATTAAGTCCGAAAAAGATAATTAATAATTACCCGCTTTTATGTATTGAAAAGGCAGTCGATTAATTATTACCTAGGCCTTTGTAGTATTAAACCATAAATGGTGGATTCTAAAAGCGCATAATTATGAGTCTACTTTGTCAACTAAATTTAGAAGATGATAAACAAAAATTACCACACAGTTTATTAATAAAAGAAAAATTTTTTTTTTAAATAATTGTACTGCATTCTTAGAATAAGAATAATAACTCAAAGTGGTATAGCTATTTAATTATTTTCAAAGCCATTAGCGACACCATCGTTTGTCCAATGTTTGTAAACTGTAAAAAATTATTTTAAAAATCACCTCCTTTTACAATTTAGGTAATAATTTTTACGAATTAAATTAATTTAATCTATTCATTCAAGGAAATTGCAAACTCAATCAGAAAGCTTCTAGATGCAATAAATGTGGTCATAGCATTTATATCTGGAGTTTCAGGCAAGCAAGTTTTTGATCAACGTGAAAGAGAGTCTATCAAATGCAGCAAACGTTTCAGTAATACATTAAACAAGTCTTTCAAAAAAGAAAAGTAAGTTAGAGTTATAAGATAACTTTATAATTGATCTATTCGATTATTATTATCATTATTATCATTTTTAATTTGATAAACAGGGATGGTGATAAGAACTGTCAAGCAGAAATGTGAATAAATATAAAAAATCAAACTGTTTTTAAAACCATGTAAAATAATAAAGACAGCAATGATTTACAATTTTTCTTTATGTATCTTTGTTCACTATAAATATTACTTTTCCATTGAAATGAATAAATTTAATATCAAAATAGCTGCCATTTGATGTCGAATGAAATCTTATAAATAAAATAAAAGGATAAAGTTATTTCATGAGAAATTCCAATATATTTAATGAGCAATCTTGGGTTGCGTGATTCGTTTTGAAGGTGCAAAGTGATGAGAAAGAGGAGGAAAATCTTAGAAGTTTAACGACCAAGACAGTGAACGTTGACTCAACGAAGCCACCACCTGCTGCTGTCGTTAGCATCACCCGCTGGTACGCAACGATGTACAGCAATAGCTTCAATTAATCCATCCTTTCTCCGCTCTTTTATTTTTATCTTGATGCCTCATTCCAGGATTAACTTGATTTCCATTGAAATTGACAAATATCTGTTGAGTTATTTTCAATTATCATTCAATTATTTCTAAACTCACTCTGCTTCGTATTTAATTATTTCACGCGATGCAGATTAAAACGTTAATTACTCAAACGGGAGTAAAGATGCAAATAAAATGAGGGAAATTCTACAATACTAATGCCTTATATTATCTGTACACTTTTTATTGATTATCCTTATCCACACATTTACCAACTCTTTCCTTCCTTTTAGTTGACAGCTGCTGCCAATCACCAACATACTTTTCCTCTTCTCATTATCATACCATGCCTACACTTCATACTTCACCAACAAAATTAAACGTAAATTGAATTATAAATCGAAACCGTGGCTCTTTCACATATTTGTGAGCATGTATAAATCACCTATCTAACGTGAAATACTTGAAACATAAATCTGCAAAGAGAAAAAGTAGAAAATTTACATAACATCGACTTTTTTGGATAAATTTGGACGAGGTTACTTTACATAAAACAGTATTTTTTATTTTTATTTATTTTCTTAGTTTTTATTCTCTGATTTGAAATATTTTTATCTCATTCTATATTTCTTGTTTGTTGTTTCATTCACAAGTATTATAACTCTATGTGTATGCTCTCCACTTTGCATAAGAACGTCGACATATTTCGAATGTGCCAACCACTGAACAATCTCTCGGAGCAGATCCATGTTCGAGTTCTCATTCTCTCTCTCGTTATATACGTTGAATTTATGACACCAGAGAGGGTAGTTACAAGTCGTTCTTAACATATGTATGTGTGTCAACCAACTAAAAAGAAGAATGAGCATTGACCCACAACTTCACCAGGATGTTATTTGTGTTATTTTTTTTTGTGCACAAAAATCATTCAATTTGAATGAAATACAAAATTGGAGAGGAAATATTCCACGAATATGCTGTACAAGCACACAAAAAAGCTTGCGGTCGAGTACTACAAGGTTTTTATTCTGAATAAAAAAATAATATTTTTCAAAAATGTTGGAATAATGAAAAATTGAAAACAGTTAGTGAGTGAATAAACACATAATCATGATAGAAATATAATTTTCTGCATACATTATAGTTTATACATATATAAGATGGATAAGATTTTAGTCTACACAAAAAGAGTCTCCCTTAATGGGTTCTTAACGTGACGTTCCCATTTTACTTCTTCCCCCAAGCTTTCCACCTCTGTCACCTTATGAATTATACTTATTACCACGCAATGCCACTTAGATAAACTTTACGGAGTGTAATTTATTTGCAAAATACCAAAAAAATGCCTCGAAAATAGCGGATTGTAATAAAAGATAGGGTAAAAATTTATTGTTTTAATAAAAAATTTTTTATTAAATAAAGTTGAGTTAATCTGGGGGAGAATTTATGGGCAAGTAATGTGGTAAATTTTGAAAATTATTGATAATATTAATTTTCAAGTATTGTTTAATTTATTTGAAAATATATGGATTATTTTCGTTCAGATAGCATTGTATTTGTAATATTACATTATTTACATGAAATCATATTTAAACTTTATTTAAAATTTTCTATGATATTGATATTCGATATTATCTCAAAACAATGCCTTGTATACGATGAATAATATGATAATAACAAGTTATGTTT